GAAGGTCTCTTCCAGCTGAAATTGTTCTGTGGTTCTGTGTTCAGTTGTGTTTCAGTTCTAAGGCAGCAGAATCTGCGTGGAGTTTGCTGGAAGGGAACAGTCACTGATTTCATAACTGAGGTGGTTTGTTTACATGAACTTAAAGTGACCTGAGACATCACCACCTAGAAAGTAATTAATCTTCATTAGTGTAAAACTTCTCGACTGACAAAAGAACCTGCGGTTCAGAACGATCAGCAAGTTTTTGTGTCCAGGTTTTTCTGTTTTGCATATTAACTCAGCACATAATTTCACCTGTTCTAAGGGGATCGCGACGTCTCAAGCGAGGAGATGGAGCAGACGGTTTTGCAAATCTGATGTTGAAATTCATGTTCTAGACAAGATGCTGCGTATGGTGAAGATCGTTATATTGAGTGATCGTTATACTGATCATTAATTTCGTTTTGGTGTATTCTGGGTAGCAGATAGCGCAGTGGATTGACATCTTTCAGTGGAAAAGCCATGCGAGGTCACATCTTCCTGCCAGCAGGAGTGAGATCACTGACGTTTTGTGGATAGAGGAGTCATTTACAGAGAAGTGTGGCATCGTCAGTGAGAAGCAATTTGCAGGAACTGGTGTGGGATGTTTTCACAATAAGTTAAATTTGCTAACTGCCGGCAATTGCTTCAATTCCCATGTTTTGAATATTACCGCTTTTTTCTGCTTGTTTGGTTAAAGCAACAGGGCTATGGTTTAACTTTCATGCCGCTGGAATTCTAATCTTAATAAAACATTTTAAAGGTGGCGATACGTGCGAGTATCTTCTGTCCAGTGGGAGATTTCTTGGAGAAAAAGTATGGCAGCCCCACAGTTGTATGATGCACAAATACAAAAATAGGTAAGAAAACTTAAATCTTCCATTCATCTGCCTGGAGTCATTTGACTGCAGCTGTAGTGACTGCAGTGTCATCTGTTTTTCACTTCGTAGCTGCTTCTCCAGGCTTTCAAAAATACGCAGCATTTATGAGAAGGCTTTTTCCTTGTACATTGCCCGTGTGTCTAGTAGTTGTGTTTGTAAATAAAGCTACAAATAGATGGTGGTGGTGGTGGTACTGATGCATGTTACGCAGAGCCACAAGGTGCTGCAAGAGGCCGCGTAGCTTCGTACGTCCCTCTCAGATTTGCTGAAAGGGAAAATGCTGGCCTAGTGTAGAACCACAAGTAAAAAAAATCACAAAACTACCAATCACTTCTTTTTCAGCTGTTAAGAGAACCTCATTTTTCAGGATTATTCTGTAAACTACTGTGTTTGCAGCACCCCAGTGGTAGGACAGCATGCTTGGTTGTTTGCCTGATCATATTAGCGGGAGTTCCCTCTCGTTTCTCTGCAAACACCGCTGAACTTTTTATTAATTCAACATTTTTAAAAACAGATTTACCGTCCCTTGGAGCTGGCTGTAATGCTTAGAATTCTCTGTAATGCTCTGTAGATTTTCTAAAGGCTTTTCCCTAACATATAAATTCCCTGTAACATGAATGTTGCTGTTTTGTTTTGCAGTGAAGCGAAAAATTGCCTCATAGACAAACATATTGTCTTTATAGGAGATTCTAGAATTCGACAGCTGTTCTATTCATTTATAAAACTCTTAAATCCTCAAGTCAAAGAAGAAGGAAATAAGGTGAGACAGTTCATTTTGATGGCGTTTCTGTTTCTTTCTTCCTAATTTACCTCCTAACTCTGCCCTAAAGTTCAAAAAAGCAAGAAATGGTACCATTTGCTGGCCTAGCCAACAGGAAGAAGAACCACAGAAAAGTCTTTAGGAGAAGAACAACATTAGACTGAGAGAATCGTTTTGGTACAGGTTGAGAATCTGAGAAGTGAACTGGGAAGCTTGAGAGAAAGCTCGCAGCAGCCTGGGAATAAATTAACGAAGCTGCCTCATCCCATAGCAACTTACGCTTCATATTTAGTTTCTTGATGAAGAAATGATTGCTCCTTTGTGTGTTTTTAAATAGTAGTAATTCATGGCTTATAATTTGTCATTTTAAATGTCAGTGAAATTGCTGATCTAATCTGTTCGTAAAAATCCTTGGGGCAATGACAGGTTTCCCGGTGTAACTTGAGCTGAAACTAAAAATAGCTTTTTACCTTCCTTTTGATGGGTGCTGAAGAACTGTCTGAATTTTCTAAGGTGAGGAATGTAAGCTGTACCTTGCTGGGTAGAAGCAGTGAGAAAGGATTTAGCTGGATCATTTGTTGAACAGAATATTTTAGTATCTTTTTTTTTGCTGTGCCACGGTTCTTAGGCATATCCCTTCATGGATGTATGTGCACATGTGGTGGAAAAAAACATTTTGCTTTCATCTGCACATGAGATTTGCCAGTTATTTTTCCATTTTGTCCAACAGACAGCGTGCAGTCGCTTTCGCTTGTCAAGGCAAGGTGTTTGCTGAGACAGCTCTGGTTCTTCTAGCCTGTTGGTTAGGTCACAGCTGCTGCCCAAAAGTGGTGGTGAGAGGGCTAGAACTGATTTTAAGTCAGGGGGAATCTTTGGTCAAGTATTTATGAAATCAAGATCTCAGTTTGTAGAAGAGAAATTACACTTGTTCTTCTGGCCCAGGGATGAAATCATTGCTGTATCTGGCAGTATTTTAAAGGGGGATTTTCTGTTTTCTTGCAATCTCACCCAGCAAATGCACTCTAAGGCATTCCAGACTTCATCTCTGCCTGACATTATTTTCTCTCATTCTTTAATTAAAACTATGTTGGTTCTTTTGTACAAAGAAGATGGGCAGATGAAAAAGAAGGCACGGGGAAAGGAAGTGTAAGAAAAGAAAGAGTTAAAAAGTGTTAGGTTTTTCTCATTTTGGGAGGCTAAATTTGGGAAAATGTTTTACACTCTTGTAACAGAATGAGCAGAAAGCATTTGAGACTTTGGTGGTTAGATTTCGTCTGGGAAAAATAACGCTTCATGTGAGTAGCTTGTTTTATCCAGAAAGTAACATAAATATTTTGCCTGAGTGTACTGACAAGTTTATACAAGAAAAATCCTTTCTACTGAAGGGAAACCTCGGGGTGAGAGCAAGTTAACACACGAATGTAAATATTTTCGTTCTGAATGTTTGTCTTACTTTGGTTTTATTGTTTTGGGTTTTTTGACAGCATGGAAATATCCTGTTTGAAGATAAATCTGCTTCAATTAAAGTGGTAAGCTTTTATCTAGCGTTAAATTACAAGCCGTAATCACATTATTGTTTGATACAATGTAATCCGAATTGCAGCCAGAGCCGGATTTTTTCAAATTTCCACAAGTGCTATAAAAGTGAAAAGAAGCTTGAGGCCGTCAACATTCTTTATAAATTTTCCACAAAGTGTATCTTAACGTGTTATATTCTTTGAGAGACTTTGGCTTTGAATACTTGTATTCTGTCTTAGCTTTGGGCAGAAGCCCTGGAAGCTTGTATAATTTTTCTTTTTGTCTCTGGGCTTCCCAAGAATAGCTTTTGCCGGGAAGTTTACTCTTCCACCGGTGTGAGAGTGCGTTCCTGGGGCTAACTTAGTTGCGGTGGTAATTGCACTAATTGCCTGTGAGCTCTCTCTGCTGTCCCAGCAAGTATTCCTTCGACTGTTTTCGCTTGGAGAAATAAGCACAATGTTGATTATCCTGTGGATATGTAAAAAAGCAAACTAGCAGAGTGCTGGAGGTAGGTTTTCTGAAGGACTCTGTTCTCCTCTGCCCTGGCAGTGGGAACGGTGCCCTGAACTGCTGGCTGTGCTGCCTGGGACAGCTGTCGGCAGCGCTGGGGTTCTGCTGGTCGTGGATGTGTTTGTGCCCTAGAGACAAGTCGGTCTCTGTTCGGGAAAACCAGAGCAGCAGAGTTGTTTGCTGCGAGCCAGTTTCAGTACCTGTGTGTGGACGCGGTTAAGGTGAAGAACAGAGAATAACGTTTTTGGGTGTGAGCCCGTGGCAATTTCAGAACACGCTGTCCCACTGCATGGGGTGTTCCTGGTTTGGGGCTGTAACTGGCCCTGGGACAGCGGTGGAGAGGGCTGGTTTGGGAGTCGATTCAGCCATAAACTTACCTGGTAGGGTTCCTTTGGGGCAGGTCTGATGTGGCTCATCCTGTGGTTATACGAGTGTGCAGAGCACAAGGCGGGACAGTGTGATTTATGTTGGCCCAGCCTGACACAGAGCTGCACCTTCCCGAATCCTCAAGCCTTGGGAGGTGTCTAACCACCGAGATCTGAGATGGCAGGTTGGCACTTTTGGGAGATGTCCAGGTGGTTAAGAATATGTCACCAGGCTGCTGCTTCCTTGTTTCGGTGCCGTGTTGCTGTTGACATTATGGGCCTGGTGGCTGAATTTCCACATCCCGAGTGGCTGCGAGCCAGTAATCTAATGTGGAAACTACTTGACCAATGAATGAGAAAATCACTGAGAACAAGTGACGAGTTTTAATTTTGCCCTTTCTAGTCATCCCGCCGACCCTTCCGTCCTTCAGCCAGGGCAGAGGGCTGTGTGATCACTCGCAGATTCCTTCCAAATAGGGAACTGACAGTACTCAAGTGACCTGCCAAAATCTTTAGGTCTGTGCAAGTGGTCGGTAGAGATTTTCCCTCTGCTGGTAGTGCTTCTGCATTCTGGGTTGTGAAGTTTCCTCATGGTAAGTCTAGTGCTTCCAGGTGAAGGTTGGACAACTTGTGACATCTAATAAAATGTCCATAGGTAATGCCAGGGCACTACTAGATGTAAACAGCTGATAATTTATGAAGTTGTAAAGTAAATTGTTAGGTTTTCTTTTTGCTTGAAAAGTGTGATTTCATGCCAGCAATATATTAAGTTCTGAAACACAGGAAACCTGTTGGTGAAAACTGGGGGGAAACTGAGCAAAAAGCAAGTTCTAACAAATAGGTTTTAGGTGTGAGCTGTGTTTTATCCCTGTCCTTGGAAGCCCAAGGACATCCCATTTGGCAGAGGCTAAAAATTTATCTTCTTAATGAAATCCCCACACCTGTACTGCAAATGAAAATTTCTTTTTTCATGTGGACAACATTTAGTGTTCTGTTGTTTTGGGTTATTTTCCCTTTTTTTGGTTTTTTCCTTCTTTCTGTTTTCCATGCTAGAGCAAGATGTCAGGCTTTTCATGCTAACTATGAAGGAAATCTCACTTTGGGCCAAGCGTTCTTCCTTCACAGTTGAATTGATGGCAATTAATTTGGTTTTGTGAATTTTTGTTATTAGTCTCCTGCTTGTTTTTAAGCCTATGGAGTAACTCTGCATTTGTTTTACAGGATTTCCTGTGGTATCCAGAAGTTAATGGCTCTATGAGGCAACGTATCAAATCTTGGACTGAGGTTTGTCTTTAAAAACTTTATTTTAGGAAAATATGGTGGCTGACAGGACTACTACCTTTCTTCTTTTTTTCATAAATGCAACTATAATTCGTAGGAGCCCAGCAACTGCCACATATCACATGAATTCAGTCAGTTATCTACCAGAAATCTGAAATTTAACCTCAAAACGGTGGAAGGGGAATATTTACTGGTGTGTATGTTTCTGGACATCTCGTCTCCTAAGGAGGGTTTCACCTGGGTCAAAAAAAAAACCCAAACCAAACCAGTAAAACCCCATTTCCTAGAAACATGTTGATTCGTCTTTTTAAGAGCTGAAAACTTTTTACTGTGATTTGGCGTTTCGCTTCCTCTGTGTCTGTGATGGCTCCGCTTTTATGTGATCAAACGTTTTTGATCCTTTTGCGTCCCTTCCAACTTAGGGTATTCTATGATTTCGTTATTTTATATTTATGTTAATTTGAGTGTTCCAAACGGAAGGACGAAGGCAATTTGTGACAGTCAAGAATGCCTTGATTTTTTTTTTCTCCCCTCAAGTTCCGTACTAATAATTTTACATGTTTCAGTTATGATGCAGGTTGTCATGCCTGGATGTAAGCCTGATAACGAGTAACACCTTCACAGACTGGCAACAGCTTTGCCTTGCTCCTTCCTTTGCTGACACTTAAGTAGCCCAGAGTTATGTAGCAACAGCCCGCAGGGATTCTGTTGCTACACTTTGGTCACTGTGGCACAACCCCTTCCATCCAGACTGCTGAAGGTACCAGCAGTTTTCCTTTTTCTGTTGTTACTACAAAAACCAGAGAGCTCCTAAAGCCTTGCTGTGTCAAGGCAGCAGTAGCCAGGTGAGCAGCACTCTCTGCTTTCTTGTGCTCTTCTGTTCGAGTGCCCGGTCTGTTCCCTGTCCTAGGCATCATTTTCAGATTTCTGGGGCAACAGCTGTCTCTTGGGGTTTTGCAGCGGGTTTGGGGTCGTGCCAGGGAGTACATCACCTCAAACCAGCTGTTTGAGAGACACCGAAAGCAAAAATACTTCGCTAGTGTGATCTACAGTTTGATTGACCTTAGGAGGAGATGTTTAAATAGCTTTTAAAGACAGCTTGTGCTGCTAAATTAATAAAGATGGTAAGTGCGTATTGATGCTTTGTGCTTTTGCAGATTCTGTTCTGTGAAAATTGTGGTTTATCGCTAGTGGGTGTTCTCTGTGTTGTATCTGCAGTCTGTTCTTTTGTAACCATTAACTGGTGGACAAGTGGAGTCACGGTTAATGAAAAAATTAGTGTCAATTAACATGCTCAGTATGATAATAAGTAGAATTTGTGAATATTTAAAAACTCATTTCCTTTTACTTTGTGTCTTAGAATTCTGTGACAAAACCCGATATAATTGTAGCAGGAGCTGCCACGGTAAGTTTTATATATATATATATGGAGCATTTTAGTATAGAAAGTTCTGGCATGATAACTTTTATGCTTTCAAGTTGGTTACGTGATGAAGTTGTTAAACCCAATTTACAATAAAAAATACACTCTCAGTGAATTGCTGCTGTAACAAGTAGTTCTGAAATATCAGATATATTTTATCACAGCTGTGCGCTGCACAGTACTTGCTTTTTGGCAGAAATAGTGGTTGGTTAGTATTGATTAACTTGCTCCTAGCTAATAAGGAACCTTTGTTAAAAGCAGACTATTCATTTAAAAAAGTTAAATAAAAGTACTTGTGTACTAAGTGAGATGCATTTTTAATAAACTCCTTTTAGTCAGGTATACCCATGTTGTACTTGACGAGAGTCAACCAGTCCTTCAAAACTTCCAGGGACAGAACTCAACAGCCCCCCTGAGCAGTCTAGTCCAGACTCCACACATTGCCTGAGAAATGAGAAATTCTTTGTTTCCTCACAGGTGAACCCCCTAAATTCCCTTCCCCTATAGGATCCACGTAAAGGCCTGAGCTTTGGGAACCTTAGGACGCCTAGACTAGCTCTGCACCGCTTGAGAATCTGGCGTGTCTTGCTAGCATGAGTCACCGTATCTCACGCAAAAAATGCCATTATAAGTGGATGGTGTTCAGGCATGCAGAGAGTGAGGATGCAAAACTAGGGGACTTTTAGCTAAATAATTCCTCTAACGCATATTTATACATGAGCCATAGCTTGTTGTCCTTTGTGGGTAGGAGGAGATACCAACCAACAAATACCGTGTAATGCTCAGCTCTTTAAAACACCGATATATGAACACAGAGCGCTAATAGTGGTGTCTAGAGTTGGCTGAAGATAAACATGCCCTGGTTTAAGGGACTTGCAGAGAAGCGAAGGGCAGGACAGCGGCTAGCACGAGGCTGGCAGCCCCTTACTGGGTTAAATCGGTGCGTGCCCTTGGATTTGTCAGCACTTCCAAACTTAACCTGCAGTGTTAATTGAACTATTGGTTTGGTCACACAACTTGCCCTGGACGTGTCTGTCCTCAGGGGTCAGCTGCGTAACAGTTTATAAAGAGAAGTAAAGTCTTACAAGCTGGAGAAGCTCCAGCTAGTACAAAACTTACCGCTTGCTTACCTTGGGAAAAGGAGATGCTCTGAGAATGTCTCTGCAGTGCTCTGCTTCCTATCTGAATAGAAAACACATCTTAAAATGTTTGTTTAAATACTGTAGATATTTCACAAGTAAAGATTTGGCTACTGGAAGAAACTTTTCTTCCCCCCTCCAGAGTGTGAGTCCCTGGAGCAGCTGCAAGCTGTTTGGTTTCGTGACGTATTCATTTGTATTCAATAACAGTTTCAGGAAGTGGATTAATCAGTCCACTAGGCTTACAGCAAGAATTTTTTGTAGGTATTTACACTCTTGCGGTGGTCAGTTTTCCTAGAATAAAAATTGGCCAAATTAGCTGTAATTTTTATAATAAGGTGATTGGCTTTGCTACTTCATCACTGTTCAATGTCAAGGGACTTTTAATGAAAACACTTTGCATCACTTAATGTATGAAAAATCAAATCCATGCTAAGCTGAATGTTACATACTCTGCGTTTCAGTGCTCTGTTTGAATGTATTAATCTGTCGAGGCAACTGCTTGGTCCAAAATAAACTTCTTAGCACTTCAGAGCAAAGACTAGATAAATAATCTTGGCTTTATAGAAATAAAGAAAAACAGCTCCTAACAGAGCAGTGAAACTGGTTAATTAAGCGTCCTCGAACATACAGGTTCTGAATCTCTTTCTCTCTCCAGTGGTCTATCAAGATTCACAATGGCAGCAACGAAGCCCTCTCTCAGTATAAAACCAATATCACTTCAATTGCACCGCTTTTGGAAAAATTAGCCACAAGTAGTGATGTGTACTGGGTCTTGCAAGGTAAAGTAACGCACAGTAGGTAACAGTTGGTACTGTCGCCGTCTGTGGAATCAGTGTCTTGGCGGATGTGGAAAACTTGCCTGTGTTGCTTGCTTGCAGAAGAAAAGGGGCACTGGCTGAACGGCAGTCCCGCCTGCCTTGCAGCCTTACCCAGAGGGTACTCACTGGCTGTTACTGGCGATGGAGAGTTTACAGCTCTCTGGGAAATCTTTCTTAATTCTTCGTTAGCTTCCTCTCCGACTCGATATGCATGGTCTGTTCTCCCTGTGCTGCGCTCCAAACCTGCCTCCAGGAGTCAGGAACAGAAGTGCGTAAACCAGCTGTGTTCCTCTGGTCGTATTCTGTTACGTTTTCAGGTGGCC